TGTCTCTATGCTATCTTTTTTGGCACTTTCGGTCTCTTATCCGTTCTTTGCGTCTGGTGCCGACGCGCTACAAGATTCCTCCAGCACACGCGACCGGAGATTAGGAAGCCACTGGGAGAAAGGATTTGGTTGCTTGCTTTGGACGCCGGGGACACCAAGCCAGCAGCGCTTTCGGAGAAATCGGACTTGAAACGATCTTCTTGCGAACAAGCTAGAGAGCTAGGCGTCTCGAGCTGATGTGACTCGGCAAAGAAAGGCGATCATGCTATTCAAAAGTTGTTCATAATAGTTAGTCACAGCCACTACTACTAACTTATAGTTTATAGTAGTTAAAAGATGTCCTGAAGAAAGGAGACGAGCCGAAGACGCGCGAGACGGGGATCTGCAGGGAAGCGACCGAAGGGAACCAGCGTCAACCAGGGGGGTCAACTGGTTACAAATGACGTGCTCCCGCCGTATACAGTACATATCTGGAGAGTATCTACGCGAGTGCTCACTATCCTACTATCTATTACTAGAGAATTTTAAATAGCCTTTCTATATGTCAGGTAAAGTTGGTTGGATTCCAGAAAGCTTAACAAATCTCAGAATGTTTCAGGGGTTGTAAAATGTCAGATCCACTCTATTCTGATAAATTTTGTACCCTACAAAGGGCTAATAATAATAATATGTTAAATCATAGACAATGACTGTACTCAGTATAGATACAAATCAGCCTATACACCGAGGGTCTCAACTCTCAAGTGATCCTCAGTAGCCATCGTTGTCATACCTCCCCCGGCCTTCGGAGCATGGAGTTTCTAATTATAATCCTTTTCCTCCCGAACCAAACAAAGTCTGGCCCAGTCGGTCTCCAGTCTCCACGTCCGACTCTTGTCTTTTTGCCTGGGCCCGTCCCACCGCCGATTGTAACTATGTAAAATCTCCATGCCTGGACAATAAATAACTAATGGGCATCACCAGTTCATGAAACATCACAATGCTTTTGTTCGTCTCCTCACACAACCCGCATAGTAGAATTCCTCAGCAACGCTTATGAGACCCCTCTCCGACATCAGAGTTCATGGAAACTAGTAATAATCACGAAACGTCAGAGCATCTCCATGTTGGGCATCGACCGAACCGTCCACTTCCAATCCTGCCTGATCTGTGCAACGATGCGCTCGTCACCTGCTTTGCAGTACCCGCTATTCCCGGGCGACAGCTATCTAGCATGCCTTGCTGATCCAGTGGAATTATTTATGATGTTACTATGTCCCCAGTTCCTGCTATCTCGAGAATTCCATGCGATGGCTAAGCATCGAGTCGTCACACATTAAGAGATGTGCGCAGGAGTGTGCTGATATCACTTCAGGCAAAGCTAATGCTTAGGGGTCTGCTTGAAAGCTACCCATGCCTATTTTTTACACAGCTTCTCTTCTCTTTGATTTTCCTCCATTCATTCCACTATCTCTTCTGTAAGTCTAGTAGGACGCACGTATCTTATAATACTCTATCCGTTTTGCAGCACTTTGCATGCATCGGCCATGCAAGAAGTGTATCGAAATGCTTCATTGGGAGAGATATCATAGGCCATGACCGATTGACCGCTATTTGTGGACTTTCTACACACTTGCTATGTGTACGCTGCTTCTTCTGTGGCGTTAGTTGGGGTTAAGGCAATTGGTGGTTGCCGATGCAATTACTTCTCCTGTCCTTGTACTTCGATCGGAATCATGATTGTCTACCCTTCATAGAGTCCTTTCGAACGAAATGCCCTAAATAGCCAATACCTGAATTATTGGGCGGATCGAACATCGCAGATGATTTTGCTTATGGTTAGCGCTCGCAACGATGATGCGCATAAAATGACTAGGCTATCGCAATGCAAGCTGTCAAAGTTGAAACTGCAATGGAACGAAATGGTCGGAGTGTCTCCACTTGGTTTTGATTCGAGCCCACATCGCGGATTTAGTGCCTACTTCAAGCTCGAGGGCTGCCCAGAATGGCCCAAAATCTGAACCAGCAGCATCCGAGAGAGCTTGGATGCGCAGCAGCTGCCCTTCTGGCTGGGGTGTGACTTGACTGGAACGGGCACTTTTCTAGAAGCCGCTTCCGCTTCTTTCTCTTTTAGGACATGTATCACCTGATCTTTTTCCTCTTTTAGTAAATTTGTGCCTTCACCAGGCGATAACTTCTAACCTCATTTCCATCGTGTATAGGCTTTGTCGGTCTATTATATCGATCCTAAAATGCTCTTGCTGTATATATATATTCCATTGAGCCTTCCTAGTAGTTATGATCTTTGCCTGGACCATCTTGCAGACCACCAAGTACATTAAGACATTAGGTGCTTATGGCATTGAGGTGAGCTGTCAATCTTCGGACCATTGAATACAACGCTTCGATTATCAAATACCGAGCCATCTGTGACCAACCTTGGCTCGCTCTCAATGGTATCACAATTTCACAGGGTATAGATAGCTGCAGCAGAGACCTGGCATATCATACTGCAAAAGGGATAGCGGCGAGATCCGATCCACGGTTGTCTTACCTAAGGAATGTTCCCCGCCTTGACCTCGGCTTTAGCCTTGACGTTGGATCGATCTACTTCCAGCTTCAACAGTATCTTCCTACCTGGCACCTACATCCTGATACCTCTTCGCTTCTCTCGGGTTGTCATCAGATTGGCCATCGCCATAGACGAGCGACTTCTGGGGGCTTTGCGCTCGTCTTGGTTATAAAGTCACCCAGTCGTTCCTAGAACCATATCAGTCTCAAGTTTGTCCGGCTCAAAAACTCAAATTCTTGTATCTCTTATCAGAGATGTCCGATACCAGGGCTGCTCGGCTTGCCGCTCAGAGATCCTCTCCACCACCCGCTAATTATATACCTGTAGCTCAATCCCCCGAGCAGGTTGATCCAATATTAGAGGCTTCTCCGAGTGCCGACTACCTATCTGAAGTGCCTGTCACGCATGTCGAGAAACAAGACAATGTCCTTGCTTACCTTGCCACGAAAGAATTCTACATTACCCTTTTCCTTGGGTAAGTGCTACAGTTAAGATGCTTGAAGCACCAAGGTGTGGCCGATGGTTAACTTGTCACACAGACAGGTTCTGGCTATTACCAACACTGCCTGTAGCACTTTTAGTACACTACTAGTCAGCGAGGGAACCTCAATTCCGGCTTTTCAGACATTCTTCAACTACTTTTTGCTCAACGCTATCTTTACCCCATATACCATATACCGTTATGGTCTGAATGGCTGGATACGAATGGTCCTCCAGCACGGTTGGAAATGTAAGTCTCACTGTATACGTAAATACCCTACACTTCCCCCCAAGGTCTCTCTAATTGCGGGGCTTGAATAGATATCTTTTTGGCCTTCTGCGACGTGGAAGGTAACTATTTCATTGTGCTGGCCTATCGCTATACGACTATGCTGAGTGCCCAGCTGATAAATTTCTGGGCTATTGCGGTCGTGGTCTTCGTGTCCTTCACGATCTTGCGCGTGCGTTACCATATCACCCAGGTGCTAGGTATCCTGATCTGTATTGGCGGCATGGGCGTCCTGATTGCTTCGGACCGCATCACTGGTGCCGATGAGGGGGGTTATTCGCGCGGGGACCTGATCAAGGGCGACCTCTTCGCGCTCCTGGGTGCGACATTCTACGGACTTGCCAACACGGGTGAGGAGTTTTTCGTCAGTACAGCCCCGGTGTACGAAGTCCTAGGTCAAATGGCCATGTACGGCATGGTCATAAATGGCATCCAGGCCGGCATTTTTGACCGCAGCTCGTTCCAAAATGCGACCTGGAACAGCCAGGTTGGTATCTACTTGACAGGATATACGCTGTGTCTGGCTTCTTTCTATTGTATGGTACCGCTGCTGTTCCGGCTGTCATCGGCGGCATTTTTCAACATCTCAATGCTGACGATGAACTTCTGGGGTGTTCTCATCGGGGTGGGGGTGTTTCACTACACAATCCACTGGATGTACCCGATTGCTTTCGGCCTCATCATCCTCGGGCAGCTCATATACTACTTGGGGCGGCGCGTGCTGGGAGAGGCGCGCAAACCCTGGCTGGGACGGAATCAGGAACGAGGCGTGTCGGGACTGTTTACAGCACGCAGAGAGATGGAGGCTGCTGCTGAGCGGAGTCGTAGCGATTCTATATCTACGACTTGTTCTGAGCGAGACCCTATGCTACCTGCCAGTGTGACAGACCTTTAGGTTAGAAGAATTGGTTAGACGACGACATGATAATGAAGAGCGCTTGCATACAATCATGTTTGGACTACGACATCATATAGTAGGGGACTAGCATGGGGACTAGCATTGGTATATTACACACTTTTCTTTTCTTGTTTCCGACTACTGAACAATGACAACAGTCAGTAGAGTAGTACCATCAGACACAGTAAAGACCTGATGTACGCTAACATGTTAGTAGTAACTTGTGGCATCCAAATCACCAACTAGTATGTATTTCCATATCATCCCAACACTCAACTCACCCACACCCGCATAGCTTTCCCCTTCCCTTCCCTTCCCAATACTTAGAAAATAACAACCACTAGATACTTCACCGAACCATCACAAACAATAAGCAGTATCTCAAATCCCGTCCTTAGCTCCTATATCCGTCGTCATCCACCCATGCCGATTAAGAATTGAATCTCCAACCCCGAAAATCTTCGGACTTCCCGAGTCAGCCTCCGAAGCAGCAACCAAACTCTATATAAATCACTTGTAGTAACTTACCACCACCACCACCACCACCACCAACGCCAATCCAACCCAATCCAATCCTAATTAATTCACTACAACCAACCTACTACTACTTACTACCCACCCACCTCAATAAATATGTCTTCTACAACTCCCACACCCAAACCCAAACCCATAACCTTCCCCTCCGCAACACACACCCTCTCCGCGCACCTCTACCACCACCACCATCCCCCAACCAACCCCTCCACTCCACTCTCACCCCCGCCATAATCCTCTCCCACCCCATGACCGGCGTGAAGGAACAAACCACCACCCACTACGCCCAGCACCTCCACGCCGCAGGCTTCACAACCCTCACCTTCGACGCGGCCTACCAAGGCTCTAGCACCGGCAACCCCCGAGGCCTCGAAGACCCCTTCCAGCGCGTCGAGGACATCAAATCCGCAGTGACATATCTCTCGACCTCTGTTCCGGGGGTTAGATAGCACGCGGATCGGCGTGCTGGGGATCTGCGCGTCGGGCGGGTACGCCTGTTTCGCTGCGGCGAGTGACTTGCGGATTAAGGCGGTGGCGACGGTGTCGGCGGTTTGTGTGGGGGGGATGTGTAGGTGTGGTGGGGTGGGGAGGGAATTAAGGGAGGATGCTGGGGGGGTGGTAATTGGGGGGGTTTTGGGGGGTGCAGCTGGGGAGAGGAATAGAATTGGGAATGGGGATGGGGATGGGGAAGAGGCACCGAAGATGTTTGATGCGGAGAAGGTGTTGGAGATGGTGCAGGAGGGAGGAGGAGAAGGAGGAGGAGGGGATAATGTGGATTCGTTTTTCAAAGCAGCGGCGGAGTATTATGCAACGGAGAGGGAGAGACATGAACGGTCGACGCAGAGGGTGCCCCTGCAGAGTTGTGATCGGATGGTGGTGTATGATTCGTTTGCATTTATGAGGTTGATTGCGCCGAGGCCGGTGTTGATGATTGCTGGGGAGGAGGCGGAGACGTTGCATTATAGTGAGGAGGCGGTGCGGTTGGCGAGGGAGCCGAAGGAGTTGTTGGTTGTGTCTGGGATGGGGCATTTTGATTTGTATGATCGGTTGGAGGTGTCGGGGCCGAAGCTGGTGAGGTTTTTTAGGGAGGCTTTGGCTTGATACCTAGTGCTGTGCTGTGCTGTGCTGTGCTGTGTGTTATACGGGAGGATATGGAGGATGGGATGATGAGAAGGAAAATGGCAAATAGTATATGACCATTGATAAGAAAAAAACATGAGATCAGACTCCGTTAACTCTTTGATGTTTTGCCTGCATCCCCAAATATTCCTTTTTTTTTTGCCAATGTCCCCAAAACACATGAAACGCATTAAGACACAAAATCAATCAGCCTTTTCCATACCCAAACTAAAAAGCCCAGTTGCTGAACTAAAACCCGCATGTTTCGGCCGAACTCGCAACCAGACCCGAATGATGATAGAATAACACCTGAACCCCCCGTGAATGAGTGGGAAACAAGAGCCCGAGACGTACACTCCTCCCTGAAGGTAAATACAAACCCCAACCTGGCAGGTCGTGGCTGGTCATGACGAAAGGAAAAAAAAAAAAAAAAAAAAAAAAGCAGAGTGGAAAGGATGCAGGACCAATGGAAAATCAAAAAAGATAAATAAAAAAACCAAAACCACAGCGTCAAACCATCAATGCAAGCACAAAAAAAGCACACCAAATGGGGAATACCGACTCCAGAAACCAACAGGCCAACCAAGTCCCCTAGTCAGTAAACCAGCCATGTACCAAATTAACAGTCCACATGTGACGGAGCGCTAGACAAAATCAAAAGACGTACTCTTGCACCACCACCTCTTCCGAATATGTACCATGCTCTTTTCCCAATAGTATCAAAACGAAACCCCTCTCTTTAAAACGCCACTGCACAGAAGCGAACACAAGCCGAACATATAATGCGTGATGTTAGTTATCCGCCCTTTACTCTTCAACCCCAGACCGACGCCTGAACTCCGAGACCGTTCTTAGTACCCCAGACACCGCTGCCGTTGCCCCAGCCAAGGCCGACTCCACCGGATGTATCCTTGACACCAGCGGTCGCAGCCGCAGCACTGGGTGCGGTCGACACGGAGGGAACAGACCGATCCGAGGCGCCATCGCCCGGAGTGAAACCGAATCCCAAGGGAGAAGGCAGAGGAGTCGTGGAGCGCTTGTTCAGCGCTGGGTTGGAGACCTGTCCCGCATGAGGCTGGGGCAGAGGACGGGTTCCGATGGGGCCAACGGAGCCAATCGGCCCAGCCATGGACTTGGAAGGAGCTTGTCTCGAGGAAGGAGAATCAGCACCGCCGGGAGACGAAGTCGAAGTTACAGGCTGGTCGGCACCGTCGTATTTGCCAAAAACAGGGTTGATGGCAGAGCTGGGGGAGGAGGTGCTGTTGGCACGAGAAGGCGACTGCAAGGAGGCAGCGCCGGCGGCAGCCTGACCGATACTGTCTGCGCCACCCTGAACGGGGGTTTGTGCGAGACCGAACGGATCAACGTTGCGGGGAGAGGCACCACGGACGCCGGTCGAGGAAGTCGGCGTGCCACCTGCCTGGCTTTCGGAACGTGTACCGTCGTCGGCGAGACCGGCGGGAGGGAAGAAGGCAGGGCTGTCGTTGCCGTATAAAGCCCTATGCTGACGAGCGAGTAGTTCCCGGCGGCTTTCTTCGCTCATGGCGGCCGGGCTGAGGGAGCGATCGGACTTGTTTCCAGACATTTCGGCAAGCAGGCCTTTGAGAAGAAGAAAAGAATTAAAACCATGTTCGAAGCGGGAGCCATGTCCCAACGTAATATACAAGCCAACAAATACACATGGGCCAAGAAGTATGTATGGGGAATATTGGGGAAGAAAGATGCAAGTGCAGAAAAAGGCTCCAAAGACAGATGCTACCACGTACTTCGGTTGTACTGTTGCTCCTGGTGATAGTTGCGGAGCTCCCTCTCACGCTGTGCTGCCATCCGACGCTTCGCTTGCATCATTTGCTCTACTTCATTGGGGCGACCCTGGAAACGCTGAGAGGCATAGAAGCCCTGGACATTGGGACTGGGATGCATCCGGGAATCGAACTCGCTGATCGAGTGATGACGCTGGCTCATGGAGTTGACCATGCGGGGATCTGCTACTGAAGTTCAGAACGTGTCGAATGTAATCAAGTAATCTCGCAATATCATACCGTAGTCGGGGTAGGGACGGCCCATCATCATGGGCATAGAATCCCTCCGGGGTGCAGCCCACAGCTTTCCACTCTTGACGAGGTTATCGATAGCACGGTCGACCTCTGATGGATGTTAGCATCCAACCCAATCGTTCATTTCACGTTTGTCACAGAACGAAACAGGCCACAAATTCCGGCACGGCTAACAGTGTATATGCTTGCGCGCTACTGGACGGTCGTGGCACCAGACAAGGGCGAAATAAGGCAGGGGACGGCTATTCGTACCATCAAACTGAGAAGAAAACGCCGGGATTTCGTCACGCTGGGAAACGGAACTCGATCCTGTAAGGAAGAATTGTCGTAAGTATTGAGAACAGTGATGCACGCAGTTGGAATGGGTGTGTTGCAATCCATACCTGACCGTGATGGGGGAGCAGGTTGCTCCCAAGAGGCCTGGCGCGCGGCCGGTGCCTGCCAACCCTGAGGCTCGTAGTATGACATGTTTACCGGAGGAGAACGTGATACGATGACGGACGGAGTCAAGCTTTGATGCGATGGGGATGGATCCGCTCGAAGGCAATCGAGAGAGGCCTGTCTGGATATGACGGGTGAGTAAATGTTTTGGGTGCGACAACAAATCTGAACGGCATTGACAAAAAAGCAAGATGCGACTAGAGCGAGGTTGGAGGCCGAAAATAAAACGGGCCAGGTGGCCGAGTCAGCGCACAGGAGTGACAAAATGGCGGATGGCGACCAGCGATGACATCGATCGGACTTATTATTAGATCTCCCAATTTGACTCCTTAGGTATCGAACTTTTTTTCCTCCCTGCCTTCGATCTTATCCCCTTTCCTTCCGGGCTCTTCACATGACAGGAATGAGGTGCGGACGCAACGAACTTTAATTGATGCAAGACACCAACTTCGATTTAAAAGCCAAGCAGATGCAGAGAGATATAATGGATGAGTTGTGAATTTGCGTTCCTCCAGAAATCATGGAGGTGATGTCTCATGGTCGAGTTGGGCCCAAAGAAAAAAAAAATAAAAAAATAACAATGGTACGGGACGGTAAGATTCACAGAAAATTGTAGACTTACCAAAGCAAATGGGTGTTCTCCTGGAGCAGAAAAATTCCGGACGGTTCTACCACGAGCGAACGAGGCAGAACAGGGACGAGACGAACGGCTTCTCACCCTTTGGAGGCACGACAGACAGTTAAAAAGTCTGGCGTGAGGGATTTAAAAAGGGTTCGGAGAAGGCGTGGGGGTGGGTGCGGGAAATAAGACAGGGAAGGGGGAGAGGGAGGGAAGAAGAATGGCGAGGAAGAGAGAGAGAGGGAGAGAGTGAGTGAGTAAGAGGGAGGAGGGAGAGGAGAAAGGCGTCGGGTAGCAGAGGTGCAACGTCCAGGGAGATTGAGGAGGACCGGGGGTGGAAGAGGGGAGGACCAAGAAAAGAAGAGGAGCGAGTAAGAGGGTGCGAGAGAGAGAGAGAGGGGGCAAGGGAAGGGAAGCGAGATGCGTGGATATTATGATTTTTTCTGGCCCGGGGATTAGAAACGCAGATTCAGAGGGAGAGAGAGACAGCCAGCCAAAAAAGCTGCTAGGTAATAATAATGGAAACCATTTATCACTCCTAACCAACTCACTAGAAAACTAATCACTAATCAATCAATCAATCAATCCATCCGCAGACTTCCATTCGGAATGGACACCACCACCACCACCATCACCATCACTAGATAGAAACTCCGTACTAGATCCTATCTATCTATTAATCTACGTATCCTCCCCCATCGACCAGAGGCCAGAAATTAGATGGCGGTCGTGGGACGGAGTCCAAAAAGGAAATTAACAAAAAGAAACCTTACGGTGGAAAGGTGTGAGATAATAAAAAATAAAATTAAAAAAATTCGAATCGAGTTCTCCGTCCTCTCCACCTTGGGAGAAAAAGCGCACACCACCACAAGCTCATGCTAGTATTTCCCAAGTAGTCCACCCGCACACGCACACACAACCCGTCAGTCTCCAGCCTGTTTAGGAAAGGTTCAAAAAAAAAAAAAGGGTGGGCATCGGACGGATTTGCATTGTTCTGGTTGGCAATGAAGATTCGGCTTGTTGAATCGCTAGTCGACCGAGGGTCCTCCTCTTATTCTCTTTGCTTTTTCTTGGGTTTATTCCCCTCCCCCCTCATAAAATTAAAATCTTACCTTTCAATTTGTTTGACTGCTTCATAGATGGTAGTTGAATTGCAGGCAAAATAAGTGAAGATTAAACGGTCCTTGTTTTACGCCTCTTTTATTTACCGTCCACTACTTTGGCTATCAATGGAAATCATTTGTTCTTCAAATGACAGGTATGAATCCATGTGGTATTGTTTCCTCGAGTCCCACTTGTATTGGCAATGTACTTCCAGTAACTGTTACTGGATATTACATTCATGATACCCGTTCGTCCTCGCAGGTGACTTGCTGACAGCATCAAAACTGATGGCAATTTAAATGTCTTCTGTAGCGAACATCTGTTCATTTGTAGTATGATTTAGTCCAACTAATATATCTTTCCTCGACTGCTCAATACACAAAGTAAAGTCCGTGAACTAGTTGCACCACCGCGGACTTTTTAACATTTAGATATGGAGTCCCCCTCACGTAGGAACCGGAAGCCGGAAATTTCGTGCACTGGGCAAGGACCTTGTATTCCTATGCTTCTATTAGCGTCGGCCCGTCAACCTTTTATTTTTCTCAAAGAATTGTCCCACCCGCCTTGGAATGTTATTTACAGTTGTCATCATTTGATGACTACCTTGGTGAGTAGTTAGATAGTACTTAGTTAGGTGCAGACTGACCATGGAAAGAGAAAGAGGCTCTCGACTATCTTCTAGACCTCAGAAAGTTCCTCGGTGTCTTCACCGTATGTCTTGTCTCTCCCTATTTGTTCTGATCCAAGCACTTACCCAGATA